TGTTCTCAACTGGAGACAACATATAAACTGTGCATCATTGTAAAGATGGTGTAAAGTTCATTAACCAATGGAATGTTCTCAACTGGAGACAACATATAAACTGTGCATCATTGTAAAGATGGTGTAAAGTTCATTAACCAATGGAATGTTCTCAACTGGAGAGTAGACATAAACTATGCATCATTCTAAAGATTGTGTAAAGTTCATCAACCAATGGAATGTTCTCACCTGGAGAGTAGACATAAACTATGCATCATTCTAAAGATGGTGTAAAGTTCATCAACCAATGGAATGTTCTCAACTGGAGAGTAGACAAACTATGCATCATTCTAAAGATGGTGTAAAGTTCATCAACCAATGGAATGTTCTCAACTGGAGAGTAGACCCAACAATAATAGAGATTGAAACTTAATATTGTTGTTGTATAATGTTGTTGACTTTTCTTAGTTGCTTTTTGAATTATTTGAATTCTATATAGCATTAACTATGATGCAAAAGTATGTGGACATCTAGTCACTGGGGTGGTCCTAATACTGGGTAGCATCACTGTTCTGGTACAGTTCTGTATGATAAGTTGTTGGTGAATGGAAGGCTATGGTCTAACCTTTTGAAAATAACCCTTTCAGATAGTCCAAAAAGCATTCTACAGTGGTTAAAATCTGTGCTTTGGTTGGGCCATTCCAAGACATTGATATACAGTCACTTTAATTGTTCATTCATCTGTTTTTAGACCCTTATTCAGTCACTATTCTGAAGTTGGGTGAGGCAGCTTTTGTTACTATAAATCCTTTGCAACCAGTTGTGAAAATTCCATTAATTGATGGACTTTACACCATATTTAGAATGATGCACAGTTTATATGTACTCTCCAGTTGAGAACATTCCATTGGTTAATTAACTTTACACCATCTCTAGAATGATGCATAGTTTATGTCTACTCTCCAGTTGAGAACATTCCATTGGTTGATGAACTTTACACCATCTTTAGAATGATGCATAGTTTCAGAGTTTATAGTGCTTTGTATCTTAGTTAATGTTGTGTAGAATTATTGTGAATCACAATAATAATTCAAGAATAATTCATATTAAGTTTCAAATCTATTATTGTTGGCAGAGTTTATAGTGCTTTGTATCTTAGTTAGTGTTGTGTAGAACTATTATGAATCACAATAATAATTTATATTAAGTTTCAAATCTCTATTATTGTTGGCAGAGTTTATACTGCTTTGTATCTTAGTTAGTGTTGTGTAGAACTATTATAAATCAAAATAATAATTCAAGAACATTATGTTTCAAGGCTGTAATAATTATCAAAGTATATAACTATAACATTGTGATTTCATTCGAAAATTTATATGCTTTGACCATCATGTCACAACTACCGTAACTTATGGGCTAGATAAAGAAAGAGCAAACATATTGGTGAAGTATCTTGCATACTTGCCCAGGATATCGTGGAAAGTTTACAATTATGTCACAACAACTGTACCTTATGGGCTAGATAAAGAAAGAGCAAACATATTGGTGAAGTATCTTGCATACTTGCCCAGGATATCGTGGAAAGTTTACAATTATGTCACAACTACTGTAACTTATGGGCTAGATAAAGAAAGAGCAAACAGTATGTTAAACATATGGGTGAAGTATATTGCATACTTGCCCAGGATATCGTGGAAAG